CTTGTATTGACACAGCAAATTCCTGGAGGTAGGCGCTGGTTTTATTTAGTGCTTGCAAAGCACTAACCACAAATAGATTAGTTCTAAGAAATACTATTGCTTTTGACAATCTCTTTATAACGTCATAAAAATGGCAGGTTTTCTACACTATTGTTGCTCTCCCACTCTTTTCTCTGCCAAACCAACCTGCTTTGGGTATCATCATGTTTAATCCAACCTACTTCACTTGTCTGATGTATAATCTGTTATTGCATAAATTTGCAGTGATTCACTTGAATAGTACAAGACACACACTCGGCAGTTTGACTGTGCCATGGAAGACCTGCAGTGCTGCCTCACCACAGGTCCCGTCTCTTCTGTCAGTCTATGAAGATGTGCAGGACAGGTAAAGGAGAAAGGCTACTCAGTACCACCTCCCAGTCTTCAAAGTCCAGTGAGATTCTGTCTGCTTGCACTATTTTCAATTCCTGAAATTTCTAGCCAAGTTGCAAAAGCAAATATTGGGTTTTGTACTCATATAGAGAAGAAATACTAAGTCCTATACATTACCAGCATATGCCAGACACCATTCATTCATGTGGGCCACGTGCTCTGCAGCAATGAACTGAGTACTGAATTATTTGTCAAGATGCACTCCAAAAATTCACGTTTTCCCCACTGCAATCACTTCCAGAACCTGTTATGCCACTGGGAGCATTCTGGACACGGCACTAAGAGAATATTTTCAAGCAGAGCATTCAACAGACAAAAAAACATTACTTTGTACACTACTGCCCAAGCACTAAGGCTCTGAAGAATCTTAGAGCAAGAAGAGTCCCAAATAACTGAGAAAAAGCAAGAGTTGCTACTTCTAGCAATTATACCTTACTTACCTAATAATTGACAGCTTTTTACATTTTTATACAGAGATTAACAGTACATACATAACAAAGAAAATGGCAGTGGTATGAACTCTTATTCTGGTGCGGGCATTCATCAGAAACAGCAAATTCATTAGAGTAAGTTTTAAAAAAGAGACAGACTACACTTTACAGCTTAGTAACTATTTCAAACTAAATAGATGTCACAAAAGAAATAAAAAAGAAATTTTAAAAAACCTACCCTTCTTTTTATACTTATTAAAGTGGCGCCGTCCTTTGCCAGTAAGCCAAAAACAAACAGAATGAAAATAAAATAATGAAAAACCCACACAAGGAGAACAGGAAAAGAAACTGCGAATAACATAAATCTGAATCATTAGAGTTCTTAAAATCAGATTAAAAAGTCAACTGATCAAACATGGTACAAATTTCTCGTTTAAAAAAAATCCAAAAGCCTTCAATCCATTTATATTAAAATATTAAACATAGTTTATTATGCAATGTAATAAGAAACGAGTATCTACTAAATGGCAACGTCATGGCAGCTGACATGAGGTACTTATTTTTTTTTCCTTCTTTTACAAATCAGATACCATCTCTTCATAGGCTATGCTCATCATGGCAGTGTAGAAAGAAAATGGTACATTGTTTCACCTTTTCAGATTAGCTAAATAGGCTTATGATGCAAATCCTGGTATTTTAAAGTGCAAATTTAAAGGAGGCTCTGAGCACATTTGCAGAACAGTATATGACACTGTCTGTGGAAGTATTTTTGTTAAAGGAGTGGAAGAGTTGCATGCTCTTCAAAGATATTACGAGATGAAACAAAGTTAGAGCCAACTCTGAGTCTAGGAATCCAACTCATTGTAACACTGAGCTCTACAAACGGTGAAAAGCAGGACACGATGAAGGATGCCTGCTTGCCGATTTACCACAGGACTTGGCGGCTGAAAGACCAAACTATTATCAGACATTAACAGTGAGAACACTATGTAAGAAGGACATCTTGATATACTTGAGATGAATATAAAGAAGTGACAACACACCAAAATAACATAATCATAGTTGCAAGTCTGATTCTTTAATCGGTCCTTGGTCGTAGCATCGCTTCTTATCAATAACTCCTACAGCTAATTGTGCACAGGAGGTTACTCACAGTGCAGTACAATTTACAGCAAATCTTCCACTGGCTTTAACTATCCACATTTTCTTTATCAGGAGACATCTCCACCCACTGAATTATCTTTTGATTATCAGACTGTCTTTGTATGCCATATTTTATCCACATGAGATTAAAATGTATTGTTACCCTTTCCGTGTGTTAGATAGAATTCTTAATTAGGTTAAACTCCAAATTATTTCAAAGGGAATCTTGCCTGAGCAAGGTTGGAGTAAATCTGTTGATACTGGCTCCCTAAGAATAAGTTATTTCCACAGATAAGGGTGAGAAATAAAACCCCCAAGGATTTGGCAAGAGTGTTTGAAAGGATGAAATTTCATCCTCTTCAATCATGGTATGAAAGTGTATTTCAGCCTGTGGGTTGGGCCAAAAGTTCATCTCTCTCTAATAATTTTCATTGTATTTTCCTGGAGTTAACGGTTCTGAAGTAAAATCTGTGCTGTCTCTCAGTTTTCCTTCATGTTTATATTTTAGAACTACACAGATGGAGTAGAGCAACAGAGGGAGTACCTGCACACTGTCTGCAAATAGTTTGCAGATGACTCCCCTCAAGCCTCATTGCCCCTGCTGCCCTCAAGATCAGCCCTGTAACCAAGGATTCTCTCGTGTAAAGGATCGTATCTATCAAACTTGGGTTTCACCCAAGATGAAGCTCTTAGACTGCTGTGTTAATCAAGTTCTAAACACCATCTGAGGAGCTAGTTCACATTTTCTCTACACTTCTCTGTTTCAGCCTTGCCTCAAATTATTTTACAGTGGAGAACTGAGACATTGAAAGATGTGTTGCTAGGGAAATAGTAATAAAAAAAAAAATCAGATGGAAAGAAAATCATTATCCTTCCATACTTGTGACAGCTTAAATATAAATTGAACATTATGGTAAATGTATATTAAACATGTGTCCATACATACAATATACTAGAAAAGATTTAATCCTCTATCTCATTCTACTGTGTTTTACCATGCATACAATCCCAATTTTGATTTCTGTCTTCTGAAACTGCCCTCTCATACAATCAGCATTCAAGTAAGCAGGAGAATCTGTGGGCATGAGAACAGGTATGACAGTGCCTGTGAAATGGGTGAGGCACATAGCCCTTACACCCTCAGACGCGCACTTCTGGGTACGTCTCATAGTATCTAGACGTGCAGCTACGCGCTTGCACAGAAAGACAAGAATTCTGTCAACGCACCCATTTTGTCATTTTATGTAGTTTCTCAGGCTTCTTTGTTCTTTAGAAATACCATAGTGTCTGACAAGAAAACAGTAAGAGTTGAAAGAAGCTTCCAAGAAACCATTTCTGCTTTTGAGGGGAAAGAGACAACACAGAAAGGACAACGCAGGAAGCGGAGGGAACGTACTGAGGGGTAGGAGAAGCCTGACAGATACTGTTTGACAAGTACGCTGTAAGAAAGCTATTTATCTGACATAGCCTGAAGGAAGGATTTCCTAGCGTTAACACAGAATACAGCGTAACACAGAGGTTCAGTACACAACGCAGGACTGCTCCACAATTCAAAATGCAAATGAGCTGATTTAATGGCCACATATGTGTGAAGAGTGGCAGTGAAGCACACAGTCACTGCATGCACACTTTCACAGGTCAACACCACAGAAATGCATATAGCTGTCAATGTGTATAGCACACATTATCACACCATTTCCTTTTTAATATACAGATATCTCCTCTATATATTTGCCAAGTGTCTTAATTTCTCAGGTAATCAAACAACATGCATGCTGTATCTGAAGTGCTCTTTAAAATGAGTAGGGCTAGGGGCTAGCACTGAAATAAAATCATTAGCTTTCCAAGGCCCTTGGGTTGTTGGTTTTTTTGGGGGGTTTTTTTGTTGGTTTTTTTTTTTGGTTTTTTTTTGGTTTTGTTTTGTGTTTTTTTTTTGTACTGGGGCACCTTCAAGAACCAAATATAGAGACACAAAAAGGAAATGACTCCCTCCAGTATGACTATAACAAATATGTATTCAAGGAGTTTTTCATAGACATGGACAGGTATGCTGGATGCCACCCTGTGAAAGAGGTGGGGCACAACAAACCTTCCTCAGGACTGGATCAGGAGTCTAAGTGGAAACGAGCACATCTCTAAGGCCCTTCAAGGCATTTCAAACACCAGGCTTTCCTCCTTTGAACACTAACAACTCTATCCCTGTGGAAAACAATTGTAAGCACATGACATTGATAGCGTGCCTAAATCTCACACAAACTAAGGAAGCAAACTGTAAGATGTTATGACTGTGCTCAGGAACTGCAGGCAATTCAACCAAGTCATTGGTTCTAGACAATGTATGTGCTACTAGCTGTATAAACTAAAGAGATCCTCCTTTATGAATCTTTTCCCTATGAAAGCTACCCCAAACTCTCAGAAAAACTTAGTAAACACATACTGCCAATCCATAGATGTCTTTTAGATTTCTGTTTAATCCTTGATAATCATGCGTCTCCCAGTTTTAGTTGTTAAAACTTAAAATAAACCTTTTCTTAAATGTTGATTGTAAAAGTCCTACTTATTTCCCTAAAAAAGGTGAACTTCTTTTGGTCAAAGAGTAATTGCATACGCAAGAAAGATGCTATGTACTAGAAGTACAGCTCAGCCAAGTCAGAATATACATTACATGCTATTGATGAAGATAATCAGTCTTCTGTTGCAGACCAGTTAATGATTATCAGAAAGCATTGATGATAAATCATCCACTTTTACAGAGAAGAAATATTTTCTGCCATTTCTGCGTACTACCTTTGGCACAAAAAAGTTGTAGTTATGCAAACTAACCAGGGATGTAGCAATACTTCCATTTGATCATATTTAACTAAGAGATCTAAGAAAAAAAAGCACATTGATTTGTTTGAATCCAACTTGGACCCATGCTAACTAGCAGGCACTGTAGATCCATACATCACAAACACACACTGTGGTTATTTGTAAGCATAGGGAAAGTGATACCTTTAGCACAATCTGCTCCATGAAATCCTGGAAAACAGTGGCAGACACCTGATACGCACTCGCCATTCCCATGACAATTACGTGGGCAGTCTTGCACTGAATCTGAAATAGAAGCAGAACTGGCATATTAGTTGGTTTCCTATCCAGGCTACAAATTCTTTGCTTAATTTTTCTTCAGTTTATTTTGTCTTCAATACTTAGAAGAACAATCCCTAATAATATTAACACCACAAAGTTCAGGTGAAGCAGAAAGGTATCAAGTTTTCAAAAAAACTCATTTTGCCATAAAAACTAATTTTTTAGAAAAAAAAAAAAATCACTAGATCTCTACTAAAAGTTGGTCCCCATTATTTGGATAATATATAGATTCTCCCCATTATTTGAATAATATATACACTACTTTCCACAATAACAACCTAGAAATAAAATTCCCATTTTGAAATTAATTCTTAAAATCATTTTCATTTGAAAGCTGTTGGATTTCAGTGGAACATATTGTCAACACTGAATTATTGGAACAAAAGTCTAATTAGACTGTTGTTAGTCTTCACTAGTACTCCCTGTTGCTGTGGGACCTGTGGTCCCAAACGAAATTGCTCTGTCAGTCCCAGACACCAAACAAACAGCAGCTGTACAACACAGAAAATGAATTTTGGATGTGGAAGATGCAAAAATATACACAGAGTATTTTTCTGTCAAATCAATCTGAAGAGGGGAAAAAGCTTCAAACACAACTTTAAATCTAATTTCACAGTTGCAGGACACTAAAAAACTCTAAAGCAAGTTTTCAAAGATGTGTCATTAGCTTGGCCTCTTGAAATCATTCACGTAAACAATGAAAAGAAAAATTGAAACGTAATGCTCAAAAATACCAATTTGTCTCATGAAGAAGCTTGTCTATAGATTTATTCATTATTTTGCTTCATGGCACACAAAAGCATTTTCTATGTATTCAAAATGATGGTAAATTTAGTATTGTCTGGGAGTTAACACCATTTCTGTTATTCTTTCTCCTCTTTCGCATCAGAGAAACTTTCAGCTGTCTCAGATCCTTCGATTATGAACCGTCTGATACTAGGTGTGTGCAGAAGAACCTCTGAACTGGATAAAACACTATACTTTTCTCTACATTTCAGTCCAATTACTATTATTGCACTATCAAGTAGTCTACCTAACTATTAGACCTCTGATGCTCTTGAAAGATGTAGCCTAGACCAGGCAACTCTTTTAAGGGCAGCTCATCATATATCTGAAGGTTTTCTAAGCACAATAGGGGCATAACAAGATATAAGCACAAGTGTCCTCCTTGTTGGTTTTGGAGAAGCAGAAAAAGCCTTCTAATGGCAAATATGCATATATATTTAGCACCATGCATAGCACCTAGTAACTCCTATGAAACCACATATAAGCTACGGAAGAAAGATCAGTTTTTCATCTTAATTGAGGTTAAGAGAAACAATTATATTCGTACTTAATGACACAGGATTGGCTATCCTCCTACATCCTTTGGGACTTAAGCCAACAGACTGAATTTTATACTAATGTAAAAAGAGGGAAAAAAAAGCTTCATATCATTAATCAGGCAAGACTGGAAAAGACCTGCAACTATTTTTTACCAAGCTTAAAAACTCACTTGGACTTTTTGCAGTTTCTCGTTCCTTAAACAGATTTATACAATATAGTGCCATTTAACACTTCACCAACCAGTACAGAATAGCACAGACTATCTCAGATTTTTTTATGCCACTGCAACAAGATATTCAGCAAAGTTCATCAAGTGCTTCAAAGTTCAACAAATGCTCTAATAACACTTGCAGAATTTAGACTCAGTTTTATTTTCAACTAAACAGAACCCTGTTCTTCTAATAAAACTGAAGGCTTCTCAGCTCATAGGCTAGATGTTCTTCTGCTGTTGATTCCACCATGTTGACGAGGTGACCTCAACATAGGTAAGACAGCACATGGGTAACTGACTCAACCTCTGGCGTGACTGCAAGCAATAACCTCATTCGCAGGTGTTAGTGTCTTATGCTTTCTTTCTACCAAGATTAAACAGCTCTCCTGTTGGATACTATTCCACCTGGGTGTAAAGAAGCTTCTCCAGAGAAGCAAATAAGAAGTATAAACATGACAGAGATAAGGGAGACTACTATTAATCGGGTAAAGTTTCAGCCCAGACTGAACTTATCCTGAGTCTTGTTTTCCAGAACTAAACTCCAGATCTATGGGAATACTAACATCTTAAAAGAGAATCCAGCAAATTAAAATCAGCACCACATTACAGCCTTTTGGACAGAGTAGTGTTGAGAAAAGAATGCACAACCTAACATAAGGATAAACAGTCTGAATAATGAAGACTGAAAAAAAAGTATTATGACTTTCAGTAAGGGAAGGTATAAACAGAGAGGAAAAATGCTCAGCTTGTGGAGATACCTACCCAAAATAACCGTACTGAAAGAGACCACTTCTTTGTCCTTGCCATCATTGTAAAACGCCAGGTGCCACAAACCCACATCCAAGTATTGAACAAACACAGCCTCATTCTGAACAAGGGTCTGAATACTTCGACGTTCCCGTGGGGACTCCACCACGCTCCATTTCTCTTTCCCATCCAAACGTTCCATGAAATCATACTGCAGGGTAAAAAAACAGGGGGGGAAAAAAAGGAAAAAAAAAAAAAAAAAAGAACACAAACAAACAGAACCCCAAACAACCTGAATACAGAGTGGTATTTCAGCTCAAACTCTGACACTGCATTTTCTCTTCTACCTTGTCATAAAATGGTATTTCTGGAAGATACGTCAATGTGAAACTAATATTTACTAGTCGATCATGGAACACACAGAGGTTCTGTGACTCTTATTGTTTCTTAAACAGTGCCATAGATTGTGCACCTTTGCTCTGCAGAGGTGATCAAAAAAATGGACAAACAGTATTTCTTGACAGGTTGGGTTTTGAGAACGAAGTTGAAATCAATTATTTGACCCATCAAATGTTAGGTTCCTACATAGCTTTCAAAGCTGGAAACCTTCGACGTACAAGACACACACCCTCTTCTAAGCAATCGCCTACAATAAACTCTTGCTGCAAGAGGAACAGAAGTCTCAGACGTAGCTCCAGACATATAATTGAACGGAAGCTCCCAGAATGTGAAAACAAACATGAACAGCACAAACAGGAAATGTGTTTGTCTAATGTTAGGTCACTCAGCACCTGATAAAAATACACCGTACAAGTTTTACGTCACAGAGTAAGAGTTGCTTACCTGAGTTTGTACGTGGAACAGTCAGGGGCAAGTACGATACAAAAACCAGAGGGAGCATGGAAAGGAATAACACAAATCAAGTGGATGAAGGAATTGAATTTATATTAAGGAAAACAGAGGCTTTCTGGTTGGATGGTTTCCAAGTAAGGTAGAACATTACATTAATCTTTGGAAAAGGGATCAAACAGAGCAAGTGATTATTTAGAGTATAAGAGGGATGGCACCATTAATGGCATGAAGCTAAACGAAAGAAAGAAAGAAATTTAAGATGAATGTCAGATAAGCTTCCCATCTATTAAGCTCAGTAATAGCTTCCCAATGGAGGTGCCACCACATCACACAATTAAACAGGACTGGAAGAAATATTGGTTAATCTACAACAGGGAATAACTCTGCATAACAAAGCAGCTGGACTAGCTGTCCTAATAGGCTTTTTTTGTGTCTTTAATGCCTGTGATTTTTGGAGCTCTCAAGCTGATGCTATGCTCAGCTTACTAGCTCTCATAGTCCCTATCTAAGGGAAGCCCTTAAGAAACAACAAAACCAATATATCTAATCTTTTGATAGTTGTATAACAAGTCCCCTATGAAAACACATCTTGTTTTAGACACATTTATCTATGTAGGAGTAGATAGAGATAGATAGACATGTCTAAAGAAAGATGTATGTGTTCAATAAAATACAGTAATAGTATGTGCTTGCTTGCCAGTAGTTTCATTGCATTTCCCTCCGTTATCTCTAGCACATGCAGTCTGTGCTTGCAACAGCTCTGAGAAAACACACACCTTCCCTTGCTTTCAGTTTACATAGAAAACTGAAGTCTTGCATCCTAAACAGACCAAACATCCAGAGAGGGCTGTCTTGTACACTGAATTCCAGTTATTAACAAAGACTTCTAGCTAATACACAATATACAATAAAATAATGAAGATTCTCCCTGCTAGTAGAAGAGACAGACAGACGGACTGATTTAACCCTTTAGTGTCATGCTACACATCTATCTAAAACTGGGGTATAAAAGCTGACCTTTCTTCCTGAAATTTTGTAACAGTTACACATGAGCAATCAAAGAGTCCTTAATGCACATAGCCTTACAAGAAAGGGAAAAGTATGGAAGTACTATTACCTTCCTGTTAAACATGTGGAACTATGACACCAATATGCAGCCACAAAGGAGATTTGTCACAGTATTGTCACAGTAAGTGCATTATCCATTCTTTCCTATGGCTTTAATCATGGGAAAGAGAAGTGGAATAAACAGTTTCAGGAAACTGTTAATATCGGATTGCCATCCACATGAGCCTTTTTACAGACAGGATTTTTGCAGGAGAAGCTAGATCGGGTAAATTCGTACATTTAAGCCAATGCACGCCAGAGATTCAGAGAATTCTGGCAGGTCAGTAACTTTCAGAGGTGCCAAACATACATATATCTATCTCTTAAATCAATGACATTTGGAAATATTGCTAAACCCTATCGTCCAACATTCAGAGGTTAAAGACAGACTCATCACCTCCTTGGGAAATGTTATTACTCGGACAACATCTTGGGAAAAAGAAATCTTGCTCTTCAGAACAATCGTTCTCAAAGGGTCAACTAAGGAAGTAGCAATAAAAGCTGACATTTCTCACTGGTAACATGCTGTTCGTCTCTGCTTGTTCTGGCAGGTTCCTCTGCCTCCCCTCTGTTTGATGCTGATTCTACCTCATACAGTAGAGAAGGCTCAGCAGTTGGCAAGATCGAAGGGGAAGAGTATTCAGGCTGAAGCTGCTTGAAGTAGTTTTAGCTGCAGAATGTTTTTTCGTGATGATGGTGTGTGACCTAGTGAGGGCAAGTCCCTTGGCATGACTCCTCGTAAGGCTAATATTTTAACTTTGGTAAAGTTAAGATTGGTATTGCCCCTTTTTAATCAAACTATGAAGAACTATTTCATGCTCAAGCAAAAACAGAAGGACTAAACCTGAATAACTTTATGAATGGTGAAGTACTGGTGCAAACTGATACACAACATAACAATACCTTTTATTCCCCTCTTCGGATTCCTCAGGACTGAGGAAAAAAAGAAGGAAAATAATATCTGCTGGTGGTTTCCCAGGTGTACAAATCTTAATGTGCCAGCAAGTACTAGGAATAGGTACCCCAAAATCTAAAATCCCTGACTGAAGAGTCACTGAGACGGTGCTGTGAAGTCACAACCAGGTAAGACTTCTTCACATGGTTGGCTGAATCATCATTTTGCTTCTTGTGGCCCTTTTGATTTTCTGATTTACCACACCGGCATAATTAATTACCTTTATATTATCTTGCTTTAAAGCTCCTTATTGACAAATATGCATAGATTAGAAGACCCATCTAGGAAAAGAATGAAAGTACTTTCATGATCATTAAGAAGCAACTGTGGAATTTTTAATCTAACACACACAACTGCTAAGGAAGAGACGACTAAATCACATGAATTAGGGAATCCATCTATCAAACCAAACTAAACCTCTGAAGTAATTTGGAAGTTTCACTGACTTTTTTTTTTTTTTAATGATCCTTTATATTTCATGGCTTCATACAAAAGTCACAGAAAAGTGACAAAACCTGCTCGGAAGCAAAACACACCCAAAATCCCAAAAGATGACATCTTCACAGTTCATTTTTGCAGGGGGAGTACTTACTGCAATTAAAGCCCCTTATAAGTGACCTGCCAGCCGACTTCTCTAAACAAATTCCAACTTCACATTCTCAGTGAGTTTGTTTATTTTTACTACGCAGCATACCAAACCCCCACTGCATACTTTTATTTACAAACCTAAATCTCATACTAAGTTCTTTCTGAGCAATTTGTTTACATAATTTCTCCATTCAGTGCTTTCTATCCTCCTCTGGTGCATTTTATTCATAGGCTAATAAGGACTTTCTTTTTCCCCGTAACTGTGGGGAGTCAGCAAAACAGTTTTGGAACTTTACGTATACAGTAGTGAGTACACGGCACAACGTAGCACAGATCCACACAGCACAGATCACTGAGCCCAGTGGCATACAGGGAGTGAACCAGTTGCGAAAGCACGGCTAAGCAAAGAGAGCTTGCAGGGGTCGAGATTGAAAGTGCAGAGAGCCTGCATGATCTTTGGGTTTTTCTTAGATTTGAAACTGTTTGCATGCCTCCACAAAATCCCTAACAGCACTTGAAATTAGGAATTGAAAAGAAAGATTTCTTAGAGCTCTTATCTTAATAATGGATGCATATTCAAATGGAGGGGGGGGGGGAGATGGAGGGGAACGAGTT